ATAGATAGATAGATAGAAAGATAGATAGATAGATAGATAGATAGATAGATAGATAGATAGATAGATAGATAGATAGATAGATAGATAGATAGATAGATAGATAGATAGATAGCCTCAAACACAACATACAGCTGGTGTTTTTCAGCACAGAAATTGCACTGAGTGGGTTTTATGAGTGTATGCAGATAAACACATACTCAGACAGCCGCTGTCCGATCACCTGACACAGATGCCGCACTGGAAAAACAAAATCTATGCTTCAGTGGCCAGACAGCCAGAATAATTACAACCTTTGAAAAGTATTGAGGCCGATGGAACACACCCATCACACCCACACACACTCACTCACACACACACACAAGTTACAACATAAACACAGCGAATGGATTTTTCTTTACTCGCATGCTTACATAAGTCGCGTTGGTGAAGTCACACACAAGCATTTAAGCAAAGACATATACTTCTTCGGCATGTAAAATTACCTAAAAATCTGCAAAGACTACCTGTCCCCAATCCTACCACTCAGGAAACCTGAAAGGCGGACTAAATTTAAACTGGAGTATCCCTGAGCCTCTCTGCCTATAATTAAAGAGTCCCCGACATCCGACTAAAATTGACACAGCTATTCCCGTACAAAAAAGGCCCAAGAGGAACTTCTGCAAATGGCACGCGAGATCTAGTAAATCTATATCCAGAGCTGTCACCTCTGCTCGGGTGCCAAAAAACAGCAGCAGTCTGAGCCGCTGGGCAGCTGCGAAAGTTGAACTCGCAGGAGGTAGCCCTGGATCGCGGCCGTCGCAGCGGTTTGGATTCTGGCCAGGCCGACTCCACCGGGACTGTCAATGTGTGAAGAGCTAAAAGCACTATCAGTCCTGAGTGAAAAGGAATCATCCTGCTTTGAAATCCTTTTATTAAACCCCTCAAATGAGCCTTAACGAGTGGGAAGTCTATGAGACGGGGCTTTTCTAAGCAGGAAGCAGACATGTTACCACAACAAAAAGATCTGATTAGGCCTGGATTAGGTCAAGTCAAAGACCAGGAAAAAAGGTGTGGAAAGTGGGAAGATAAATGGCCCGGGAGGAGGGAGAGGAAAGAGAAAGAGAGGAGCGGATCATAAGACGAGGTGGTGACGGCAGTCAGGGAAGATTAGCGAGGGTCACTGATTGCCGCAGACTCTCGGGGGGCCGCCGCACAGCAGACACGCTGCATTAGGAGTGCTGAGGCATGCAGATGGGCCTCCCCAGGAATACCTTTGTGCTTAAAGTCCACAGACAAGCCCCTCAGACGCCATTATGGTCTGGGTAGAGGGGGCTATGGCACTCACAGAAGGAATGTAGGTCACTGAATTAGAGGGGACTTAGAGAGAGAGGGGTGTCCTCTACACACACACACACACTTATACACACTCTGACACAATGCCTAAAGCTAACAAAACAAACATTCCCCACATTGCACTCTTCTTATCTGAATTTAGGCAACTGATGGGTCCTGAGGGATGAGGGGGGGGTTGTTGGCCCGCAGAGTCTGATAGAGCTAGGTTAGCATTACGGCTAATTGGTAAATCATTGTGACCCAAATCTTAAATGGCATGTGCGACTGTTAGCCCCCTGCGGTAGAAAGACGCTGGGCTCTTCAGCTGTGCTTCAGCATGTGTTGGCTGTCTTTTGGCAGATAATTCAGTTTGTTTTGGAAGTGTTTTGAAGACTTGATAATTCAGAGCTAAATGCTTTTTCTGAAGTTTTGCGAAGTAAACAAACGGATTGGAGAACATGTAGGACACTAGCATAGCTGTCTGTGTGATAATTCAGTTTCAAACATAACATAACAAGACCTAAAACTAATAAAGTTTTAGATAAAAACTTTAAAAGTTTGGTGAAGCATTACAAAATTTCACCAGAAAGACAATTAGCAAGTTATACATTGATTTAACCAGTTCTGAGTTGTGTCTAGATGGCAAACATTGGTCTGACAAACCATAAAGCGTGGTCACGCTATACTTTGATCATGTAAAAAATTTGTGAGTGAACGAAAAAGCATTGAAATATAATTATGTTCTCCCACCTCATTTTAAAAGTTTTGTGAGAGAACACAAAGTTTCCAAGGGGAACACAAAACATTTTGCTTGACAACGCAAAAGAAAATGTAAAGGTTTTGCGAAGAAATTCAAAATTTTGCATTTAACAAAGAATAAATAATACATTTAACAGGAACTAAATTATGTTAAATCTTAAAATATTCTCAAAAATACTTTATACAATCTATTCCACTTGACCACACCAAATACGTGACCTTCTGGTACTGAAGCAACATTCCTATCATAAATTGCAGTTTAACATTATTCTTAATGTTAATGTTAATGCTAACAGAAATTATATGTTGATAAGACCCTAAATCCCAGCCGTAGCCCTAAAACTGGTTAATAAGGCTATATGATGATCCCAGGTACATGTTCTACTCAGATAAATCACACTAAAACGGGGTTATATAGTCGTCCAATTATGATTTTCAGAAGTTAAGAGGTGTACACTTATGGTTCTGGCGAGGGGAAAGGATACTGCTGAAGCAAGACCTGCTGGAACTTGTCTGGGGCCAAGAAGATTGGGTGCGTCAGCATGAAGTCATCCAGGAGTATTTCTGCAAGGAGTCAGAGAGAAGAACACAACCTTGTTAGTGACATCACAACTCAACAAGATGTTGATGTTCGTCTGACTGAACAAAGTGTTGTGTTGCGGAAATTGACACGAGGAGGACAGTTTAATGCAAGACAAGGAAAGACTGGAAAATCATGCAGACTTCGTCATAGCTGTTCTTGTTCGACAGGTTGTGAACGCTCGCTCTATGAGTATGTGTGGAGAAACAAAGTTAAACCTGCCTTCACCTCTGCTAACACATCTCAAGGACAGTGGGTTTGTGGGTAGAATAAATCATGGCGCTTTCTGGCCCACTTTGGATGCAGTGATGTACTGTACACACACATCTGCCTGTACAAGACAGCAGCTGAAAGCAAAAACGAACAAACTAGCTCACATAAACATCAACAAACAGTGAAAACGACATTATAAACAGAATAATGAATGAGAAATGCTTTGAAAAACTGTGTGAAATGAAATGTGTATAATATCTTTCGATCTGGGGCGCATCTTGACGGTGAGGATTTCAGGACTCTGTTTTGGCTGATGAGAAGACATGATGCTGATTATGTATCTGGGTTATATCAATGTGGAGCACATAAATCATTGATACTTAACTATTAAAAACGTGATCGCTGAGAGGAATGAGAAACAAGTCAGTAGCACGAAATAAATACGTCGGTTCAAAATGCTAAAGCTTTCACGTGTCATGCAAATAAAGCAAAGCAGGCATGAACTAGAGCAAAACAGGGTCACAATATTCAAAGCTAAACTAATACATTCGCATTTCAGAGCAGTAGCTTGAACACTGAATGAATTTGTACCGTTGGTCAGACAGTCAGACAATGAATTTAATTGAGATGAACTGTCAGTTGAATTTTCTCAGCTGATCCATTCGTCTGAACAGCAAAGATTCCCACAATCATGCCCTGCTTTGCATACTGATTTGCAGGCAACAACTGATCACTGATTGGTGCAGACGTGTTTGCTTTAGTTCCTCATTGTGACTATCGAGAAATTACGCAACCGTCCTCCTGTCATTACGGGATACTGGGACGCAAGGCGTTCTAACGTGCATTTTAGAAATGTAACATGTTCAAACCTGCATACTTCACACCTCTGTGCATGTTTTTGTGAAGTCACTCCTCTTTTGAGAGTTACAGGTGAGGAATAATCGAAGCATGCACACCTACCTATCTATTGTATTATATATAAAACACTATAAAATGCAATCTAATATTTATATAAATATTTTTAATAATACAAATAATTGTTTCACTTGATATTATATATATATATATATATATATATATATATATATATATATATATATATGAATTTAAAGTATTAAAGTAAAGTATTTAAAGTATATTAAAATAATAATTAAAATAATAATTATGTATATAAAATAGGGAAAACACAAGGAATAAAATATTTATAAAAATAATTAATGAATGATATAATGCATTGTATTACTATTACGTTATATACATATATGAATTTAAAATAAGTATTTGTATTATTACATATATTAAAATAAATGTGTGTGTAAACAGATATGTGACCCTGGACCACAAAACCAGTCATAAGGTAAATTTTTCGAAATTAAGATTTATACACCATCTCAAAGCTGAATAAATAAGTTTTCCATTGATGTACGGTTTGTTATGATAGGACAATATTTGGCCGAGATACAACTATTTGAA